GGGAGGGGGGGGGGGGGGGGGGGATACACGCAAGAGAAGCAAATTGCAGTCGTCACGCCGGGGTGGGTGCGAGCGACAGTGTCCAATGTTAATTGTGCACGTTATCGACTTTTTTACGAACTAATGACGCATTCATAAAGCATACAACACGCGTCATGTTCATGTGATCTGGTGAAAAAGTTGTTCAACTTTTTTTGCGACGAAGGTGTCCAATACAAGTTGCGCGGCGAGACTTCCGTCATCCCACGTCGAGCTACTACCCCTACCACACACGTAGACCCCCTCTCCAGGTTCGATTGGGAGAGCGGATAGTTCAAGTTCGTTCGGTGTTTTAACCTACATGGGTATGGTTTTCCACCGATAAATGTTCGAAGGAGGCAACAGCAACAGCAATGCCACTCCGAAGGAGGTAGCTCTACCCATCATCTTTCTGGCACAGACGCCTTGGGGTATCGTGAGGGTGGAGCGAAAAGGTTGCAACTACCCTTTCCCGCATGCTCTGGACGGTTTCTTCGCGGTGTGATACGAAGGGGGGTGCCTGCTTCTAGCTGATGCTAATAAGAATCAAACACAGGATGACGCCTCCGCATTCCACCATTCCCGTGCACCAAACTTTCTTCGTCCCATCAAGAGCGTGCACCAAGTCCCAATGACAGAAGTTAAAGTTCTAGTGACAACCGTTCACGACCTAAGTTGCCAAAAGACTTTGCAGCTTTTGTTGCAACTGCCTTGTATGCTGGTAAAACTACTGATGGGTCTCACCTCGACGAGTACGCAGTTGAGCATGTGGGGGAAGCACCACTCCCATGCCGACGTCAGCACCTTCAAGCACAACCGTTTAACATCCGAGCCAGCGTCGGTTACGGTACAGAACAGGTGGTTGGTATCCAAGCCGAACTCCTTCAACACCTCTTGAACCCAGATGAGAAGGATGTCAGAGAGTTGTTTACTGCTGGTCAAGTCAGCTGAAGGCTGAAATAACTTGACAGCCACTAGAGCTGAGTCGAGCACAAACGTAGATGTGCACCAAAAGAGTCGCAGGCCTGTATATCGACGAAAACGAAATCAGGCAGGGGCCAGAGGAATCAAGGGTAGGGCCAGAAACGGTAAAACGTTAAGGTTCGTTAGGAATCACATCTACATCCATTGTAGTTGGAAATTCGCCAACCAGATATCGAGAGGTGCCGGTAGGGAGCACGGACGATATCTTCGGGAACACCTCAAAACCACCGGCAACAGCAGTACTGCAGCAGAAACAAATTTGACCATTTTGAGATTTTTCTTGTCCTCCTCAAGTCAGGGCCAGCGTGTGGCCGATCGAAAACAAAACATTAATGCGGCATGAGTGCCTGGGCTTCCACGTCGCACATTGATGCGGAGAGACTGCGGATGATTAAGGCACTACCGAACGATAAAATCAACAACGCCGTCCATAAACCGCCATGGGTAAATCCGTGTAGACTCACCTATGTACTTCTCGTTCGACCACTTGCTTGTCCAGAGGTCGAAGTTCGCATGCAGTACGGCACCTCCGGCCCCGGTGATCGCCTTCCGTATAGAGTACGAAAACTTGGATACCGTGGCGTCGTAGAGCTCGACAACGAAGTGCTTGATCATCTGGGGGTACAAGGTACTCTTCGGGAACGTGTCTTCACAGCACACTTCGAAAAACGCGCGGACGTCCTGGCTGTCGGACAGGCTAAACGCGAGCAAGTGCGAGATGATGAAGACCTTGACATACATCAGTAGCATGACCCGGCCGGGGTCGGAGCTCTTCATCACCGCCTCCTTGTGCTTGCTGACATTGGCAGTGCGAGTTCCTCTCGTCTTCTTTGCAGTGTCGGTTTTTTTGGAGACGATGCCTGCCAGAAACAAGCACGCAACGTGTCGGACAACACACACGTTCACGTTTAAGATGTGTGGCGTCTTTCAACGAGGATCATGTTCCGAATCTCGAATCTTTATTCGAGCGAAGCGAGATTTCTAATCTTGCCTGAGAGGGCTCAGCGCAATATAGGGGCCGATGCAGGAAAAAAAGTGCGTGCGTGTGTTGTGTTCGCTTAAACTAGGTTTTAGAGTACAGGACTTGATTTGTGACTACAGGGCGCACTTTTTTTTTTTACACAGCAGAGCAGCAAACAGCAACAGCAGACAACACGCGCTCAGCGAGCAGACTGAACACACACGCACAGCAGACAACACGCGCTCAGCGGGCACAGCGACACACCAACAGCGCAGAGCGGACACAGCCACAGCGGCCTGCATGGCATGGCAATTG